CGGCCACTGCACTCCAGTCTGGGCAACAGAGTGAGACTCCAATTCAAAAAAATTAAAAATAAAAGAAAGTTCAAAGTATATAAACTTACTTGACTTTGCAGCTCTTTTTGAATAGTATCCAAGAACAGTCATGGTTTCTGAAGCAGCCACAGGTCTAAACTTGACCTAAAGGCCTATGTGAGGCACTCAAAGCCTCTCTGGATTCTAAGGCTGAGTACAGATCAGGGCAAAGATATTAAGTGGACACAGGAGGAAACGTTTGGGGTCATGGAGGAAGGAAACAAGGTCTTTTCCACATGTGATGTTCTCTTTGGCCTCTCTTCCTTCGACAGGCTAAGGGAGCCCACACAGGCTCTGCTCTCATGCGGGGCAGGAGCTGGTGATCTCCTTCCCTTGGGCTGCCCTATGGCTGTGAATGTAAAGGGCTGGACCTCCATGGTACTCAGACCTGAGGCAGTCAGGCATACAGCCTTGGTACCTGGCGATAGCCCTCAGGTTCTTGTTTACCTTCCCCTTCTGGATGGCTTGCTCTTCCCTGGCCACCAGTGTCCCATGGTAAGAGTGGTAGATACTGAGGGGAAATGCAGGTGCAGGCTTCTGAAGAAAAGGAAAGTAAGCCCTCTGCCTGATTGGTTTTAGGCCCTGGACCACCTCTAGCCCTGACAGAGGTGATTTTCCAAGTAGTTCCGCTGCATTTATGGTCAAAATCTCACTTTTACAGTAAAAATTGCTTTATTTTGTCCTCTGTACAAGTGATTTTTTTTTCTCACAGGAGGCTGGTGTTCATAGATGATAGAATCTGAAAGTTGGGGAGTCTGGTTTGGGACACTGTGCATTGGCCAGCATTTCTCTCTCAATTGCTTCCCATGTATCTTACCCTTTCTTGGTAACCTCACTGATGATGTTTCACTTTAATACACTCTGCTTTGAGTAGTAATGGTCTCAAAGTTGGGTTGAAGGTCAATATTAACCTATTTGAAGTAAGAAAATAGAAGCCAAGTTAGAAATATTTTCTTAGTGGCAATACCAACATGCTCTCCTTTCCCCAACAGTCTGAAGATAACTGGGACTCTGACAAAAAAATTAAAATTAGACTACTCTTTCTATTAGATTTTGAACCTATTCTGCTCTTGATTTTCTTGAAGTAGCAAGAGGTAAAAATTTAGCATGAGAGTCTATCTTTCAGATAAATTAATTCACTTGTGAGAGAATTGTCATCACTCCACACAACTGCAGTTGCCCACATCAACCAGATGACCCGTGTTAGCTTTGCCATGGCTCCTCCCTTTTTCTCTTCCATTTAATTTCTCTGAATACTGCTTAGTTAGCTTTTACATTCCTTTAGAGGAGCAGCTTTTTCTTTAAATTGCCATCTTCCCAATAAACAATCAGATAAGATTTATTGTTTCTTTAACTTTTACCTTTCCACTCAAATGCATCAAAATATCCCAAATTTATCAGTCTTGGGTTATAATGCCTTGGTGGTTCTAACTTGAATTTTCTTTTTAATTTTGAACACTCAGGACATCATCTTCTTTTACTGTGCAAGAAAGAAGTGTCCCTGTCACATACAGGAAAAAAGATGTTATTTTGGGTATTAGCCCTCCTAATCCTCTGTGGTTTTCTGTGGAATTATAAGGGACAACTAAAGATTACAGACGTCACTGATAAGTACATTTTTATCACTGGATGTGACACAGGCTTTGGAAACTTGGCAGCCAGAACTTTTGATAAAAAAGGATTTCATGTAATTGCTGCCTGTCTGACTGAATCAGGATCAACAGCTTTAAAGGCAGAAACCTCAGAGAGGCTTCACACTGTGCTTCTGAATGTAACCGACCCAGAGAACGTCAAGAGGACGGCCCAGTGGGTGAAGAACCAAGTTGGGGAAAAAGGTGAGAGACATGGAGTGGGGAGGATGTGAAGGAGGGAGGGAAGTAACTGAAGCCGAATAAAGTGTGCTCAGATTTTCAATGGTCTTTCAAGAAAATGTTTCATAAATACCAGCTGTGTACTTCTCCAGTCTTAGGATAACTTTTGAGTTCCAAGTTGCAGGCTCCCCGTATACATGGGAAACACAGCCCAAGTGACACTTGGTGGTAAGTCCCATTGGGGAATTTGGAGCTGAGATGAGATTATTGACTTCCAGGATCTTCTCCAATGAAGCGCTACTCCAGCCACATACACAGCAAAGGAAACCGGAGCTGAAACTTACAGAAGAACTTGGGAAAGATTCCCAAATTTCTGTCTGAATACTTGGGACCCACTTCTCACTACCAAATGGTTCTAGAATTCCCACATTTTCAATGGGCAAGGTAGAAAACGTCCTAAGAATTTGAGTGTGTCTTAATTGGTTGTGGTAGAGTAGCAAGCTGTTAGATGCTCATTCTGCAGTAGATTCTGCTAGGATGACTGCATTCTGAACTAGAAGATTTTCTTTTTCTTTTTCTTTTTTTTTTTTTTGAGTTGGAATCTCACTCTGTCACCCAGACTGGAGTGCAGTGGCCGCTCTCGGCCACCGCAGCCTCGACCTGCTGGGCTCCGGCAATCCTTCCGCCTCAGCCTTCCGAGTAGCCGGAATTACAGGCACGCTCTACCACGCCCGGCTAATTTTTTTGTTTTATTGTAGAGATGAGGTCTCGCCTGCCCAGGCGGGTCTCGAACCCGCGGACTCAGGCAATCCACTCACCTTAGTCTCCCAAAGCGCAGAATTACAGCCTGAGCCACTGAGCCCGGCACTAGAAGATTTTCACTGACTTTGAATGAAGCTTGAAATTTTCTCATAGATCGAGATATTGGGGGTCCACAACAGAAAATACAAAAAGTATGTGGTTTTTCTCTAACACATCTTCATCATGTATTAGAGATTCTGAAGCTCAAAAGCGATGATTTGATAAGGCTCCAGACAATTTTTAACGCTTCGATTCCAACATTTTTAACAATATTAAGTATTTCTCATCCTAAAACAAGGCAAGTGAATGATTCAATGCTTTACCAAAAATAAACATGAAGTAGATTGATATAACACTTTGTCCATGTAGAATGTTTCATAAATATTCTCTGGCCTTGGCATCTAGCAAGGTAGGAGACATAGATCAATTTACTCTACATCTGAGTTTAAAAACCCAGAAAGACTCACTCAGAAAGTATCAGTATTTGACATTTGGAACCAGAAATAGAGTAACAGTGAGAACTTTATTTAAATTCAGCCTCCCACTCTCTCTTCCACTTCCCCAAACTATGAAGTATTTCAGAATAGGAATATGACTACAAGGAGGAAATGGCACCTTTGTATAAAGCAGGGGCTGTATTTTCATCAAGATGCCAAATAAGTGCCACCTTTTACCACACCTCCTTTTGTTCCTCTCTGTTCTAGGTCTCTGGGGTCTGATTAATAACGCTGGTATTCTCGGTGTGCTGGCTCCCACCGACTGGCTGACAGTGGAGGACTACAGAGAACCTATTGAAGTTAACCTGTTTGGACTCATCAGTGTGACATTAAATATGCTTCCCTTGGTCAAAAAAGCTCGAGGGAGGGTTATCAATGTCTCCAGCATTGGGGGTCGACTTGCATTGGTTGGAGGGGGCTATACTCCATCCAAATATGCAGTAGAAGGCTTCAATGACAGCTTAAGGTAAATTAATTGATTTATTATGAAGTAATGCCTGCCAACATTTATTGAAAACTTCTTATAAAACAGATACTCTATTTAGTACATTATACTATTCCCATTTTATAGATGATACCACTGAAACTAAAAAAGACTAGGTAATTTGCACAAGGTAACCCATCTGGCAAGTGGTAGAACTGAGATATGAACCCCACATCTATCCAACTCCTTTTTCTTTTTTGCATTAATGCATGATGCTGATGATGTTGGTAAATTTATATTCAACCAATATCATCATCAGTTTGTCAAATAGTCAGGGAATCATATAGAGAGGCTAAATCAGTGTAGGCCTCTCCACTGGTGCTATTGTCAGTTGCAGACACAACAGTACCATCTTATTTAAACCTTCAGCAGAAAATTATCAGTTCTTAGGTTTTATACCTGCATTCAGTAGGGGAGACAGGGGGAGTACGCTTAATACATCTTACCTGAAACCAGAACTTATCACTACCAGTTCAAAGCCCCTAAGTTGTAAGTTATTCTTTCAATCAAGGTTCCGGCAAGAAAGTGGTGGCACGTTAAAATTGAGTAAATAAGCCAGGCACGGTGGCTCAAACCTATAATCCCAGCACTTTGGGAGGCAGAGGTGAGAGGATTGCCTGTGCTCAGGGGTTTGAGACCAGCCTGGGCAACTTGGCAAGACCTCATCTCTATAATAAATAAAAAAAATTAGCCAGGCAGGGTGGTACATGCCTGTAGTTCCAGCTCCTTGGAAGGCTGAAGCGGAAGGATTGCCTGAGTCCAGCAGGTCGAGATTTCAGTGGCCGTGAGTGTGCCACTATACTCCAGTCTGAGTGACAGAGTGAGACTCCAACTCAAAAAAAAATAAATTGGATAAATAGAATAGAGTTTGTTTAAAGGTCTATTAACAAACATGTGGGAGATGTCCTAAGAACTTCCAAAGGATGGTGTAGAATCTAGAAACTAAAGACAATAGGGGCATTTCTATTCATAAGACCAAAGGGACAAGAAGACAGGGCAGTTTTCAGAGCCTAGAAGAATCATAGGCTGTCATCTTCAGTGGAGAAATGAAATAACCAGTGTTGACACCACGGAAGGATTATTAGCCCAACCTCTTCTCTCTCCTCCTGATCTCCCACCGGCACTTCCAATCAACAGTATTCAGAATATTGTTGTGGTGCAGGCAAAAGGGTGGAGAAAGGAACTAGATAAGCAAATGGAAAGTATCCAGCTGAGTGATGCTGCCATAGACAAGAGAGAAGAGAGTTAGATACAGTCTTTCCTTTTTATTCATTCATTTATTTATTCAACTAGTATTTGTTGAAAGCATATGTTTAGAGTCTATGACCTACACCACGGATCTAGGTTTAGCCTACTAACAAAAGATTAGATTATTCCACCAAGGTTAATAAAGATAGAACAAGCTCCATTTTGCCTTGGTTGCCAAATTTGATTCTCCTGGGAAATAAACACAATAATATTAGAACAATGTTTCCAAAACATTAATGTGAATTTGAATCACCTGGGGATCTTATTAAGATGCAGATTTTGATTGAGTGGGTCTGGAGTGGGGCCTAAGATGCTTCATTTTTTTTTCCCCCTCTTTTAATTTTTATTTTAAAATTGTGGGGTACAATTCAGGTTTAGGTATATAAATATTCATTTGCAGGTGATGAGGTGTGCCCCCCACTTCCCCAGGCAGTTATCGACTACTGTCAATCCCACCTCTCCCCCACCCGCAGTTTGCCGCTACTTTCAATCCTTTTCTTATAGTAATATGGTAGTTGTTCAAGGACCACTTATGAGTGAGAACATATGATACTCAGCTCTCTGTTTCTGTGAGAGCTCACTCAGTATTATAAATTCTAATTCCGGGTTCGAGACCCGCCTGGGCAGCGAGACCTCATCTCTACAATAAATCAAAAAATCAGCCGGGCGTGGTAGCACATGCCTGTAATTCCGGCTACTCGGAAGGCTGAGGCAGAAGGATCGCCGGAGCCCAGCAGGTCGAGGCTGCGGTGGCCGGGAGCGGCCACTGCACTCCAGTCTGGGCGATGGAGTGAGACTCCAACTCAAAAAAAAAAATAAAAATAAAAATAAAAATAAATAAATAAATTCTAATTCCATCCAGGTTGCTGCGAAGTTCATGATTTTGTTCTTCTTTATGGCTGCATAATCTTCCGTTATGTATATGTACCACTTTTTAAAAAAATCCAGTCCTCTTTCGAAGGACAGCACGGTTGGTTCCATGTTCTTGCTATTGTGAGCAATGCTGCGATAAACATACGTGTGCAGGTATCTTTTTCATAGAGTGACCTGAGTTCTTCCAGGTATATTCCCAGTAGGGGGATTGTGGGATCATATGGAAGGTCGATTTTTAGAACTTTTAGGAATCGCCACACTGATTTCCACAGAAGCTGTACTAGTTTACACTCCCACCAACAGTGTGGAAGTGTTCCCTTTTCAGCACCTCCTCTCCAGCATCTGTTATTTTTTGAGTTATTGATGATGACCATTCTGACTGGAGTTAAGTGGTATCTCAGTGTAGTTTTAATTTGCATCTCCTTGATGACTAGTGAGTCTGAACATTTTTTCATGTATCTGTTGGCTGCTCGTATGTCTTCTTTTGACAAGTGTGTATTCATATCTTTTGCCCACTTTGTAAGGGGACTGTTTGTTTTCTTCTTTTCAGCACATTTGAATTCCTTGTAGGTCCTTGATATTAGGCCTTTGTCTGTTTTTTTCTTTTCAGCACGTTTGAGTTCCTTGTAGATCCTTGATGTTAGGCTTTTGTCAGACATGGAGTTGGCAAATATTTTTTCTCAGTCTGTGGACTATCTCCCTGCTCTCTTGATGGTTTCTTTGACTTTGCAGAAGCTTGTCAGTTTAATGAGGTCCCACTTGTCTATCTTATCTCTTATGGTCTGGGCACTTAGGGTTTTGATCAGGAATTGTTTGCCAGTTCCAATTTTCTTAGGAGTGTCTCCTGCATTTTCTAAGGTTCTTACTGTTTGAGGTTTTACATTTGGTCTGTGGTCCATTTAGAGTTAATTTTTGTGTATGAAGGTAGGTAAGTGTCCTGTTTCAGTCTTCTGCATGTGGTCAGCCAGTTTTCCCAGCACCATTTACTGAATAGGTTCTCCTCTCCCCAGTAGTGGGTGATGGAGGCTTTGTCAAAGATGAGTTG